CGGCCATTCTAGATGAAATGAATACAGCTAAAAAACATTAGAGACACAAAGCTTTAATCTGCCCTCCATATTTGAGGAACATCGCTGAAAGAAGTTGTGGACCTTCTTTTTTTCAGAAGAGGATCCTCTCGAGTAACAATAATAGCTTTGGTAAGCAAGTAGTTAGAATGCAATCTACCAATCAGGTGGCGAGATGTTAGATTTCGTTGTCGCCACAAGTTTTTGCGTTTTTGCAAGCAAAATTTCTTGCATAGGTGGTGTACATTACTCATGTAATCAGAATTAGACGATTAAAACTAAAATTTGTACGGATTTTGAGACTATTTTGTGTCTAATGAGAAGTTACTCAAAACATGAAGTATTATGCAGCGCATATCACTTGCAAATGCAAAAGTTCCTTGTAAAAAATAGGATTTAATCCTATACTACCTGCTCCATTTATAGTCGCAACTTGGCTAACGGTTACAACGTTTGCTTTCGAGCAACTCTATTATTTGCAGTCAGAAAGGCTTGTAGGTTCTTTCAGATCCACAGCGCAGATATGAAAGGCGGATTTAAACCTCTCAAATCTTCTTCAACCATCACATAACATTGAGTATTATCGGGCCGTACAGATATTCACCCTATCATTACTACAAAAGCGGTGCTAATTATCAATTTTTTGATTTTTGGTCTCAAATTTTGGTCAAGAAATTACTGTCGATGATCTTACCTTCAAAACTAATTTTCATATCACCATCCTTGTCTGCTTCTTTGATTATATTGATTAGGAATTTTAGATGTGTTTTGAAAACAGGATCCTTACGATCGTCCTAAGGTAGAATTACTAAGTAAACTATGTCAGGAAATTTAACGAGATTGCAAACCTTATCTGCTCCAAGAAGCATACAAAGAACATCGTCTTTGCTGATAAAGCCAGACATATCTTTGTCGTGATTGCGGAACATTTCGCGGAGTTCATGATCTAAAATTAAGCATTATAAAAGGATTTTCATTTAATATACAAATCTGAAAACGTCAGTGATCGAATGATTAAAAATAGGTATACACTCCGATTGTTCTAGAAGTTTCCCTGTAAAAAACATAAAATACTGGAGTCAAATTTGAGAATTACAATATTTGTTATATTTTTAGGGAGCTGATCCTTTTTCTCTAAAGTTCAGAAAACGGAATTAGGCTAGATAACTCTTTATAGTCTTTCGCTCTTACTTAATATTGCTAAGTTTTTTAGAAAACCACTTTGCCAGAATTAATTTTCCTTGACTTCTAAGTTTTGGCTTTGTTTCGAGTTTATCGCTCAGCTCACACAGAAATCCATCCATTAAGCCGCACTTTGCAAGCTATGCGCACTTCTCCAATGTCAACATTCAAACGAAGAGAAGTGGAGGAGGAAACAGAGGGTAAAGTGCTGCGCTTAACGGACAATCGAAACAGTCTACATTGGAAGCTGATGCAGAAATCGTGTGTTTAAATGAAAAATGAGAGAGCGCTAAAGTTTTTTTGACGGCCACTTATAGGTTTTTTTGGAAGCTTTCGACATACTTTGGGGACAATTTCACTTCTTTAAATTTCTCGCGACGATTTCGTGAGATACCAATGCGAAGATTATATGATAAACTTAATATATGTATTTTT